GGCACTAAAAGAAAACAATTTTCTTAACAATTTACATTATCTTTAAGAGAATTATTAAATATAATGAAAAGGAAAGGTAAAAGTAAATAAACAGATCTGTTAACCTTCTTTTTTGTTTACATATTAAAACAATCCTCAACAGTTGTTTACCCAATTTAAATTAAACCATATAAATCACGTGAAAAAAAAAATATTTGGATCCATTTTATCATGAGCGCTCATCATATATGATATATGGACATACGTACATTCAAACATATAACACAAAACACAAGTGTGCACACATAATATAATACATACAACACATAACATTATAGTAAAGGCCTTATAACTTTTTACAGGTGAAATCTCCATTGCAATGTTTAAAAACTCTATAGTCAAAAAATAGAACTGATCAGCAAAACATTAACCTAGGTCTGTATGAGCTCAAAAAACAAAATAGAACTTCATGATATGGCAAAGGGCAATAATAAAATAGATATTGAAAAAAGCATCCTGGTTCTGTTGCAGATGTAAGAATAGCCAAACTGGAGTTTTGGATATCAGTTGTTATGGATTTGAGCCAAATCATCTTCTTTTTGGTCTGTAGAAATCGCTTTAGTTAATCTTTCTGGAATCCAAATCGGCTGCTGTTCTCCCTGTGGAAACACATAAACAGACCCCCGACTCCAGACAATCACTGGGTCAGGACCTTGGTTAATCTCTCTGGAATCCAAATTGGCTGCTGTTCTCCCTGTGGAAACACACAAACAGACCCCCGACTCCAGACAATTACTGGGTCAGGACCTTTCCATTGTCCTGTTAGAATATCCTTCCAAAGTACCTTGGGCTTATGTACATTTTTTGGACACATATGCCTTTCCGCAGCACTAAGTCCTGATGAATCCAAATTTAAAAAGTTTAGAGTAAAAAGGGTTATTTTAAGTTTATCTTTGGGGAATATATACCCCTTCCCAATTCCTTCTTTTTGCTTTAATAAGTACATTTTAATAGTTTGATGAGCTCTTTCAACTATGCCTTGTCCCTGTGGATTGTATGGGATTCCTGTTATATGAGTAATGCCAAATGTTGAGCAAAATTGTTTAAAAGAGGTAGAAGTATAACCAGGGGCATTATCTGTTTTTAACTGTTTTGGAACACCCACAGTGGCAAAATTTTGTAAGCAATGAGCTATAACATCTTTAGTTTTTTCTCTGGCATGAAGGGAGCCCATCAAAAATCCAGAAGAAGTATCAACTGTAACATGCAAATATTTTAATTTTCCAAATTCTGGCAAGTGTGTGACGTCCATCTGCCAAATATGGTTAGGTATCAATCCTCTAGGATTGACTCCAAGATTAACTTGTGGTAAAAAGGTCACACAATTTTGACATTGTTTTATTATTTGTCTAGCTTGTTCCTTAGTTATTTTAAAACGCTTTTGTAAAGTATTAGCATTGACATGGAACTTTTTATGAAAATTTATAGCTTCTTCTAGTGTAGAGAAAATATGTATGTCATGTGTAGTTTTATCTGCTAAATCATTGCCCAAACTAAGGGCTCCAGGCAATCCTGTATGTGCCCTGATATGTCCTATAAAGAATGGATCTTTTCTGTCCCAGATTAGACTTTGTATAGTGGAAAGCAAAGAGAAAACAGTAGAAGAAGGGGAAATCCTACCAGCATCTTCAAGAGATACTATAGCATTAACTACATACTGACTATCAGAAAATAAATTAAATACAGAATCTTTAAACATCACAAAAGCTTGTAAAACTGCATTAAGCTCTACCTTTTGAGCTGATTGTTTGGGTACTAAAAATGTAAAAGTTTGATCAGGGGTAACTACTGCTGCTGTACCATTATTTGACCCATCAGTGAATATATTTGGAGCATTCATGATAGGTGTTTTTCTTGTCATTTTTGGAAAAATTACAGGATGCAATGACCAAAAAGACAATAAAGGATTAGATGGTAAGTGGTTATCAAATGAAACATTAGATTTGCACATGATTATTGCCCAAGTATTTAACTCATTAGCTAACTCATCAATTTGATTCATAGTATATGGAGTAATAATTTTATTGGGAGAAATTCCAAACACTCCCTTTGCTGCTTTTATTCCTTTGAGTATTAATTGTCCTACAGCCTCAGGATACCTAGTAAGAATAGTGTTAGGAGAATAAGATAAATGTATCCATAATAATGGACCTTCTTGCCAAAATACTCCTGTAGGAATATTTTTTGTTGGTAGTACAATAAATAATAAAGGCAAACTTATATCAATTCTATCCAAATGCATATTTTCCATATATGTTTCAATGATTTTTAATGCCTTTCTTGCTTCAGGCGTTAACATTCGGGGTGAATTTGGATCTGATGGACCTTTTAGGATATCAAATAAAGGTCCCAACTCTCCTGTTGGTATACCTAAATAAGGCCTTATCCAATTTATGTCTCCTAATAACTTTTGAAAGTCATTAAGTGATTTGAGTTGATCTACTCGTATTTGAATTTTTGGTGGACGGACCATGGTTGAGGATAATAGAACTCCTAAATAATTAATTGGAAAATTTAATTGTACTTTATCTATTGCTATCTCTAGATTATAATTTTTTAATAAGTTTGTAAGTGTGGCATAACATTCTAGCAATGTGTTTTTATCTTTGTGTGCTAATAATACATCATCCATATAGTGAAATATTTGTAGTTCAGGATTTTGATTTCTGTTTAAACAACAAGCATGTGGCTTAGGGACCGTGCCTGTTAGGCAGTCCAATTCAACACCTTCCTGCTACCAGAGGGTCTTCATGTAAGGAGAAGAAGACAGGAGTACTGGGGGCTGGGTCCCACCAGACCAAGGTCTCACCCGAACTCTGACTTCAGCGCTCCCCCAAGAACCTGTCCTTCACAAGTTGCCTCCTTTCCTGGTAGCTACTGGGGACAGAAAGATCAGCTTAGGGTTTCACTGTGCTTCGCCCCAGGCATCTCTGGCCCAGAGGCATGGCCAGGCAAGGCAGGAGACAGGCACAGGCATGTGCTCTCCCCTCTGGTGTCCCATTAGCCAATAGCCACCAACCCTGTTGTAACCCACGTCTGTGTAACAAAGAGCCACAAACTGAGGAGCGCACTTCCTCAGTCCAGGGGGCCAGAAGCCCAACCTCAAGGCCAGGCCAGGCCTGCTGGCTCCAGCACCCCTGGGCTCGTAGCCCCACCACGCCTTATCTGTCTCTTCGGCTCTTCCTCGGGCCCCCACTACATCCACAGCACCCCGGGTGTGCGCTCTTGCCCGTGAGGCTCCAGCTATGGCCAACATCCACCTCACAGGGCACCAAGCATAGGGGCTACCGCAGTAAATAAGAATACCCCCACCGCTGCAAGTGACAGACCAGTGGGGACAGACAGCAAGCAAGCCAGCAGTGCACAAGTCGCTGCACCCAGCCTCCTCTGCCTGTGGTGGCCTCCACTCTCTGAAGTCACTCTGAGCCTTGAGTCATTGGCCTGCTCACTGCTCGACTCTGGGACTAGGACGGCGGGGCTCACTGTATTTGGGGACTTTACACAATGCTGGGTACACCACGGGTGCTCAGCAGCCATCAGTTAAATGAATAGGTATGTGGTGTCTGCCTGTGCACATGCGTGTACATAATCACGTGCACACCTCTGTTCCATGTGGGCACTGTGTGCTGGGCCAGGGGCACAAGCACATCCAGCCTCTGACCCCAGAGAGCTGGGAGCAGAAGCTCTCCAGGGTCAGAAAAGCCCCAGATGCCCAGTGACACCCATCCAAGGCTGCAGGGCCAGCAAACGGTAGCCCATCTTCCCTCCACTTGAAGGCTTCAGGACTTGCCCCCTAGCCCATCTGGGCTGCCTGGGTGAGTCTCCAGCCAGCTTTACCCTGCAGCCTCCCCACTCCAGGTCCCTCTCCCAGCCACCATGCCCGTGGCCCACTGGCCATCAAAGCTCAGCCTCAGGCTCTCCACACCGTGGAAACATCTCCACCTCCAAGGGCAATGAGGCTCATGCCTGGGCAGGGAGCAGAGGCTGCAACGTGCCCCACAGAGATCCCCTGGGCAGCTCCACAAAAGTACATCACAACCTTGGGCAGGAGCCACAGCCTCTTGCTCAAGACTCCCAGCTTCCTGGGGAAAGCAAAGCTTGGTACAGGGGAAGAGCAGGGTGCCAGCCCTGGCTCAGCCTGTGTGCTGTGTGACCTGGCAAGGGCCCACCTCCCTCCGCCTCAGTTTCCCTGTGTGCACAGCAGGGAGCCTGAGGCTGGGTCCAGAAGGTGCTGCCTCTGGCCTCAGCCAGCCCCCAAGACCTCCCTGGCAAACACACCCGCACCCCAGTCCTGGTCCGGCCATTCAGCCAAAGAGCATTTGCTGAGTGAATAACTGATGGAACAGATTCAGCGAGGGCCAAGATCCAACAGCAAGGCAGGGCCAGACTCCCAGCCACCCATGCCAAGACCCTCCTGGGAGAGAGGGCCTGCCCACCTCCTGTAGTTCCCAGGAACAGGGACCCAGTCTCCTCATGTCCCCATCACCCCAGGATGCAGAGGCCTGCCAACAGGATGTGGGGTCTCAGGGCTTTCTGCTCTGATTGCCCCTCTGGGCAGTGATGCTGGAATGTATTCCCAGGAGCCTGAGCAGGCTGGGGACAGGGGCAGCACCTGCACTAGATGCCTGGAAGGGCCAGGGACTTGTTGCAGACCCCAGGGGAGTATCCAGTCCCAGAGGGCCCAAAGGGGTAGCTCTGCTGGGTCTTTCCCAGGGAGGGGGGTGGCAAATGGGGCCCAGGACACTGCCCTGAGTCACCACTGACTAAGCTGGCGGCTGTTCTGGCCGTGGCCCAGCTGCCCTTGATGGACGGCGCACTGAGGCCGCTGGGTGCAGCCTCGGAGGGGGTGGGCTGTGCTGTGGATGCCTGCCCTTCCCAGTCCCAGGTGGCCCATCTCCCGGGCATGCCCTTGAGTTCTGACTCCCCCCGCCTTGCCCCAGCCCAGGGCAAGCCTCACTCACATGAGGTCAGGTCTGTGGCGGTGCAGGATGGCGCAGAAGGCCAGGCCGTCACGGAACGACGTGGTCATGTTGGTGATGTTCACGTCGCGGTACCCCTCGCACTGCTGCCGGCACCACTGCTGCAGCGCTTTGATGGCGGCCATGCGGCCGGCGGGTGCTCCCCACGCGGGCTTGGCCCGCTCGGCCCGCCGGCGGAAACACACCGAGGGACGCGCGGACCGGCTGGCCCGCACGCAAGCAGCCGCAGGGATAAGGAGCCGTGGCCACCACCGTCGCCGCTGCCGGACCCTGAGCCTGCGCGCCGCCGCCT